TGATTATATTGAGAAGCAATTAAATAAACATATTGATTATAGTTATTCTTAGTAAGTACAACAACGACATGAAAAAAATTAACTCATAATCTCAAGAGTCAGGAAATTTTTCCAGGTTCTTAAATTTTACTATAAACAAAGGATTTCAATTAATAAGACTTAATAAAACTTGGATCTGAAGATTTTTCAAAAGATTGATTTGTGTTTAGGCACAACTGGCCACACCTCCTAACACAGTGCACTATCCATATCAAGCTCCAGGGGGCGGCATTGAGATTATGTCATGCTGTGGTGTTTTTCAAAATTAGAAGGTAAGGAAGAGAGACGGTTTTAAGCACTGGTTTATATCTCTGGCTGCAATTAGAGTTTACAGGGATAACTTTTAGGACCAATGTCTTTGTGTAACTATCGGCAATTAAATCAAAATTTTGGGGTAGATGTAGGTATCAGTAATTTTTTGAAACCACTGTTTTAGAGCATGGGATATGGAGATATGAATTTTGAATTTTAACCCCAATTATTAATCCTCAAAGCTTAATTCTCTTCATGTGTAATAAAATAAGGGTACAAATTGTTCCTGATTTATAGGATTGTGAATTTAACCCTAACCTGTAGTGCTGTAATTCTAGTGAATATTTTTAAATAATAAGTAATTATTGTCATTGTTATTATGAAGAAATACATCACTACTGCTCTAACACCTTCATTTCCAACAATTCAAGAAGGATAATATACTACTAATTAAGCACATTCTTTTCTCAGAGATTCAAAGGGCATGTGAAATAAGATTAATTAAGTTTTATGAGTCAGAAGATAATTCAAATACTTAGAAATCTTAAACTCAGGAAGTGGAAACTACCAAACAGAACACCTGGTTGAGGTCAGGCAATGAAGGCTCTGCCAAGAGAATTGTGCCTTTGGTCAATTATCTTTTCATCCTAACCACACTCTGCTTTCTCTGACTATCCACATTACTTCAACTCTCTCTCAAATACTAAGCATGAATCTGCAGGAACCTGTTAGTCACCTCCAATGATTTCCTTTACTTTAGAATCAACCAACTCCTAACCAAAGTCCTTCACAACTTAAGCTCAACCAAAGTCCTGTCAATTACAGCTCATGAATGCTCTCAAGCATCAATCAATTTCTCCATCTTTCCTGAAAGGTGGAGCCATCTCTGTCTTGGACTCTGCCTGCTATTAGCTCCTAATTAATTCTATACGCTGCAAGAAATAACTTTCTGAAAAACAAATATTCATGAATCGCTCTTTGATTTAAATTTACCTTTACCACGCTACTGTTGACAGAGTCAAGTCAAAAGTCCTTAGCAAAAACCTTCAAACTCTGGCTTTTTAACCAAACCTTTCAGAATATTCCTCCCACCCACCCCTTCTCTCTAATATGTCTTGATCTAGGCCCCCTGACTGCCGCACCACTCTCTGAACATGGCAATGTGTCTTTGTATATGCCCTTCCCTTCACTTGTTGTTCGGTTCCTAAATTCTTTGCCTAGATAACAACGGTTACTTATGTTTCCAGGCTCAGAGCATGTGTCATCTCTGTGGCCACTCTTCCAAGCAGCATGTGTCCTTTTCTCTTCCGGTCTCTCTGTGGAGCACTTCCTGTCTTGAACATAATCGATCTTGAAGGCCCATCTCACCCAATATTCAGAGGGCTCCTGAAGAAAAAAAGCCTATGACTAGATGATCATAACTTTCCTTGACAGAAGGCTCCAGTGATTAACTGAATTAAAATGACTTCATTGGAAACAAGACTTGCTAGACCATCCCAAGGAACTTAAAATGTTCAGGAGTCAGACTCACGATGAATGAATGCATTATGAAACACCTTCATTCCTTGTAGACAATCTCTGTGAACAAAGGGGGAAACCTCTCCCCCAGCCACAAACATGAACTAGAAGTGGACACAAGTGTCCAGAGTTGATCCAGAGTTGGTGAGGAGTTAAAGGAAAACTGTGTACTCTTCAGGCACCATTTTTGTCACAAATGGAAACATTAAAGTAAGTGTAGTTGAACTCCATTTGTGTCCATCTCTAGTGCATAATGTTTTTGTATGAGTGTTCGATTTGAACATATTAGATTTCAGGGAAAAGCTTAACAGCCTGTTGCAAAATTTCTTCTTCAATCTTTGTCCTGGGGCAATAGAGAGACTGAAGAAAACTTTTTAGATGGATGAGACACTTCTTTCAAAAGGTTTCCTTCCCTAGAATTCCAGTTCAATCAAGTGTTTAGGAAATTAATGAACAGGAAATGGTCCTTACTGATAGTATTGTATATTTATAATAAAAATTAATAACTCATTAATGATTATGTCAGAACTACTACTAAAATTTAACTCATGGATGTTCTGTAAGGCTTTCTTGAACATTGTATTTAATACAAAAGCTAAGGTGTGCTGTGATGATCTAGATCAGTGTAGAACCATACATATAAAAGTCATCCCAAAATGGTCATTGACCCCAAAATCAAATGAGGGCTGGTAGAACTAATGAGTTTTATAATGGGTGCACATTAGTATTGGTTTTAGATCAGTTTAATCTTTCTAATCTTAAATCAGCTCTGTTTTCTCTGAGGAAAAAAAGTGAAAGAAAAATAAAGGAAGACAAGAAACTGAAGTTCAGAGAAATGCATAATATGGGTAGTGAGAAAAGGGAGAAAGTAAAGGGTCAAGGCATCCAACAAAGAAATCTCCCAATGACATGGCAACTTGTAATCCAGCAATAAGAAACCTGTATGTGGCTTTCCTCCCTCCAGCTGCATGTCTTGGGCCTTTGACAGTTGCTCATGTTATCTTTGGTAACATTCACTCATCATCATAAGGGACCCTGCAGGTTGACATGACCAGCCCAGATCTTCTTCAGAAAACTCAGGGACTTTGGGGCCATCATGAAGAAGAAGGGAGGGCCAAAGCTGAAATAGATACACATTAATAGTGGCCATCAAAAGAAGATATAGTACCTAAGTTATCCAAGACCATAGATGTTACTAATCATTATTTCTCAACTGTGGCCACAGGTTAGAATCACCCTGGGAAATGTTTTGAAACTCCCAGCCAAACTCCGTGGAATTAGATTCAAATCTAATCTGTCTGACATAGAGCTTGTTTTTTTGTTGTTGTTGTTTGTTTGTTTGTTTTAAATTTTTCAAATGAATTCCAAAGTGATCATAATGTCATCTGGGATTTAGACCCACTTTTACAAAAAGAAAAATTTCAAAAATATGTTACCAGCTTTTTACTGTTAAAATAACTAATTTTAACTTTTTTTTCCTCTTTGAAATCCAGGGACATTTTCTGAATGTTTTGATTACATTCTTTTGACAACATAAAAACAGCTTATTTAATTGTTTTAACACACATTCAAGGCACTATATAACAACTACTATATCTTATTCCATTTTGTATTAACAGTAACTTCCAAGAAGCACAAATCAGCTTGAATCCAAAGTCCATACCTCTTCTATGTACTTCTCAGAAGACATTTTGGAATCTTGCCCCCACTGTTGGTAGGAAGTTTCTGTACTGACTGAAATCAGCTGGTCTTGAGGCATCCTCTTTTTCTTGAATCATGGAAGAAAGCTTACTTATTCCAGAGACAGAGCTGTTTATTGTTACTGTTCCTCTGATGTCTGCTACCAGGGAGGCCCTGACAGAATTATTTACTCTGTGTTTGAAAAGTAAGAGTGAGGGTATGCATAACTTGCCTAAATCCTCCCTTGCTGGCATTCTTAGTTGTCATCATGGCAAAGTTTTAACATTTCCCCTGTTTTCAAAATCAAAGCAACTTATGAAGCCCTCAAGTGGAAGATGGGAATTCCCAAAGACAAGTTCAGGCACTACTGATAATAGTCCCAGAATAGAGATGTTGGAATAAGCTAATGGAAAGAATTCTGGAGCCATTCGGAAGATAGAGAATAAGACTGACTTGGAATGCTTCCAAATTGCTTGACCTTGGGCAGGTCATGTAACCCTTATAAACCCTAAGATATCTACCAAGGAGATAGTAGTTCATGCCCTAGCGAGACCAAAAAGGGGGAGAGTGAGTACATAAGAGGCCCTCTTTAGAAGGACGTTTTGTACTTTTGTAAAGTACAATGCAAATGAGTACTTTTGTCCCTGTTCCTTCTGTCACTTATCTTCACTCTTCTCCATGAAGTACCTGGACTTCCCATGCAGCAGTCCCACAGATATAGCTCTGTGGAAGAAGACGACTCCAGGTAGACAAGCAAGGCACTCTGCAGGGAGAGTTTGAGGCCAGAGCCTATAGCCTGGCACCAGAGAAGACTGTAATATAACAAGGTAAAATAATCAGAGAATCAGAGGAAATAAATGCACATTCCCACTATACTTTCTGGAATATCTTTTGCAAAATACTAAAATCATTTATATCTTGTAAAGGATACATGTTTGAATGATACTTTTAATTTTTCTTTATGGAGTAATCAATAGATTTTTAAGAAGACATAGGGAAAGCTGTTTAAAAGGCTACAATAAAAAGCATATTTGAAAAGGCTAAATTATATTGGGAGATAAAACAACATTTGATACCCAGATGCTAAAAACATATGACCAATTATGACCAACAATACAGGACCAGAAACAGAAGTCAGGAAGACGGCATTAGAAAACCCAATATGCTTATTGTCGTGAGTCTGGCTAGCTATAAAGGAAAGAGCAAGAAGCAAAACAAAATAAATATGTTTCTAACATGTAATCATGAAATAGCATGAGCCTAGGGAAGCTTCTTATGTGTCACTTTATTCTGCTTATTTGATTAATCATAAATTAATAATTTTATAACTTTTATGGTCCAAAGTTTTTTTTTTTTCATCATAGATAGGAAACTGTAAAAATAAGATTCTCCAATGGGAAGGAGCAGATTTTCTATAAAGAGAAGTAACAGTAAGGAAATAATCGTGCATTAGGAGAAATGAAACAGCAGCCTGTTTAATCAATTAATATGATAATATATGTGTCACAGAATTATTTTTGAATCCATGTTTATTTGTAGAGAGTACAATGCCTTTAACAAGAACGCTTCTATTTGGCAATATGTATAAAAATAAAAACGCAAAATGGAAACTTACGCAATTTCTAATGCTAAAATAACCCTGAACTATATCATTAGTGGTATTTACAACCTTAATTAAGAAGTCATTTGATGATAATGTTAACGAATTTGGCATATTTTTTGGTCAGATTGACACTACTTGAGACAGACACAAGCATAATGATGTTCCCTCAGTAAAATCAGAGCAGAATCTGTGAAGGAACATCTGATGTCTATGGTAAAATTAAGGTCAAGGACTTGGCAAAATATGTTACAGACTATAACAGATGTTCCTAGATTAAATCATATTTCTATTAAAAACTATAGAGATGTTTAGTTGATAGAACCTAGAATCACAGAATTGCAGAGCCAGGAGGGATATTTAGGGACTATTCATTTCCATCATTTTCAGGATAAGGAAACTGACATGCAAATAAGGCTAATCCCAAATTCCCAGAGTTGGATAGCAATGTCTGGGCCAGAACTCAATTTATTTCAACTGTCACAGAATGCCTGCTATTTGTAACAAAAAAGGAAAATTTTAATATTTTATGTAAATATATAGTTTAAATTCTCTTCTATGATCATATTAGATATAGATATACTAATAAAATGGACCACTGCCTTATTTAATTTCTGTTCCTGGATATTAACCAATGCTATATCTTATATTGAAGTCCAAATTCCAGGGAATGCTTCCATTCATCAGGCATTAAACAGATATCAAACTGGTATTATCTGCAACATGCTTCTTCTAAAAATATTTCCATAATACCATTGAAGATCAGTTAATATTAGCAACATGCTGGTATGTAACAGTATCTTTTCAAATTTATCTAATGAGCAAACACTTTGTCAGTTCGTCTTTCATAAGATTTAATACAATTCAGAGTTTGGATACAATACTAAATTTCTATGAATCACAAAGGAATAAATATTATCCTAGCATCACAGAAACACATGATAGTGAATCTCACATGTTTTCCTTCAAGGGTAAATCAAGTCACCGAAGGAGCAATAATAGAGAAAAAAAATCATGTACATCTATATTCCAAAATGTTATATAATCTCTCATTCGTGATTTTTAAGACGTCATAATGGATGAACTGGGAGTTAGAACATCCAAGTTCAGTTACAATCTGCCATGTATCATGAAAGGGATTTTCTGGCTTTAACATTTCAATGACCAAGTATGAGAGACTTCACAGGTTCCAGACACCAGTGAGTGTGGAGAATACAATCAATTAGTGAAGTTGTAGGGTGAGTTATCCTTCTCAGGGCACAGACAGGTTACCGTAGCCACAACCTGAAAATTAATATGGTCTCCTGTGCTGTGCTCATCTCCTACACCTAACCCTTCCACTAGATCAAGACTATGTCTCACTGCCTTACCTTTATTCCTATGTCTCTCTAATGTGCATGGGTATCAAATTCCTCAAAGGATATGGTAACAGTACAAAGACCCAGACTATTCTACTTTAAAAAGGAACATCCCCTATGGAATTCATGACCTGTTTAAGTGATTATAATATGCACCAAATTTGAGAAACACTCCTCTAGCATTTGCTCTTTACTCACCAGGAATTGAGCAATATTTCTTAGTATGCACTTAAAGCCCTTGCAAAATTTATCTTTTGCATTCCTCTCCAGCCTCATTTCTCATCACCGCAATTTAATTGCACATTCCCCTAATATTGAAAATCTTTCTTATAGTTTGGGTCTTTTTTAAATTCACATATTCCTTCAAAAATTATTTATTAAGTTCTTACCATCTGTACAGCACTAGATCTAACACTGGGGATGAAGTGTGAGGAATTGGGCAGCCTATCAGTTCTCAAGAAGTGAAAATGTAGACTCAACAAACACATTGAATTAGAATTGAGATACACTCTGTAAGGAGTAATTAGTGGTTGCCATGAGAGCATATTGTTACATGCTCGAACAGATGAAGCTATAGACCAGGTGAGATCTGGTGAGCAGCTTTCTCAAGGAGGTATTTATTAGGTTAATGCTTAAAGTATGTATAGAAATTACCTAGATACATGGCAGCAAGTTCAGAGGGCCTTATAGACAGGTAACAGAATGTGCAAAAGTATCTTGGTGGGAGGAAAATAACATTTACAAGGAACTAAAAGTAGGTTGTGCAGGTTAACACAAAAGGAGAGAAGGAATGGGTAACTAAATTTGATGAAGCTGAGCAATCAATGTAAGGACTCAATAGCCACAGTTTTTCTTTATCTACAGAAAATGTTGGTGTTATTGAATACTTTTAAGCAGAGAATTATCTGAGGTTTGCATTTTAAAAGATTTTATTCAGACCCCAAGGTAGAGAATAGATTAAATGATGAAAACCAGGGAGGATATAATACCTTACAGGAGGCTATTGCAAATAGTCTGGGAGAAAACAGATGGTGATTGGACTAGGCTGTGCTTGTTAGAGGACTGCAAGAAAAAATGGTAAGGGAAGACACATGCTACCGCCTGACTGATTTTATAGGTCAAAAAATATTTGACTGAATTCACCATGAATTGACCAACAGTGTGATCTTGGACAAAATCCTTTAAACCTCTATGGATCTCAATTTCATTACTTAATAAGGAATCTCATCCTCTTGCCCATTTTGAGTCCTTAGCACCAAATACTGGCAAGTAAATATCTTTTTCTTGGCATGGAGTATACCAAATCAGACAGATTCCAGAAAGAAATGTTTAAATGGAAAAGGATTTAAGAAAAGGACTTTTTATGGATGGATCTGAGTTCAGTGACTAACAAAAATCTGTAAGGTAACCCAGGAAATGTGATAACAGGAAGTCTTTATCATTCCTTCACACTAAGAGGTAAGGGCAAAGAAGAGTAATAATGAAGCTAGTGAGAGACAGAACAGTGGCTGTGGGTCTTTTTCTATCCAAAAGAGGTTGTGGCTATAGAAGGTCAGTCACTGCTAGAACCAGGGCCAGTCAAGGGATGAACTGGCAGTGGAGGTATTGACCTCTTCTCCCAGCCTTCAGTATCTTTCCAGTGCCTCTCATTGACTGAATGACTTTGAAATCCAGAGGGTGAAGAAATTCAGGTGATTCTGTTCTTGAGGTCAACCTCCAGGCCACTGAGCAAGATATAGATAGAGAATGGAGTTAGGGAGGCAAATGGAGAATATTCAGAAAGAAGTGATCTGCACAACTCTTCAAGACCATGGGGGATTGAATTTAATAGATCAGGGAAGTGAGTCCTATATGAGTAAAAATAAGATGTTGGCCAGATATGAGCAAATCCACAGAGTACATAGTGGATTACAAACCATGGAAATCGTGACAAGAAAGGACAAATTAGGCATATACTCAGTTAAGGTCTGAATCTTTTGCCGTCTTTCACATTTATATCCTCATATCTATTGAAAGGGCAATAATAGAAAACTTCCAATCAATAAATAATCTCGATATTCACATCACTTTACGCAATGTTATTATAACCTTTCACCACTGGAACTCAGACTTATGTCTCACATACTGTGTGTAATTATATTTAAAATATTAAAACTTCTAGGGTCTAGAAATGTGAAACAAATGAAATTCAGTCTATCCAATATCAGTTGAAAGAGTCTTCATATTAACAAGGATCTATCTACAGAGAATCTACTATGTGTGGGGTAGAGATTAGAGACATTACAGATCTCATCATCTCATACTATAAAGACCACACATGGAAGAACTACAGTTTTCTGGAAGAGGGTCTAAGGCTTAAAGAGGAAGTTAACATTCCTCCATAGCATAGATAGAAGGTAGATAAGACTATAGGGTTCACACACAGGTCTCTGACTCTACAGCTTTCTTCTACTGCTGTAACCTAGTGAAGCAATAGGGCTGCCCGTAGATGAAGCTGAAGAGACTATTGGTGAGTTCCATGAATAGATATAGAAGTGCTAGTGGGAGTTCATTTTATTTTCTAATTAACTGGGGGAAACACATCAGAAGTCAGAAGTTCCAAGCTAATTGGTTTAGGGAAATGAGAGCTTGGTTAAGAAAGAGTATATAATATCCAACAGGTGTTTGTTACAGAGGGAAATGAACATCACCTTGAGTCCTGGGGAGAGTTTATGATCAGCAGAATGGACCTGAGGAGTGTGGTTTCAACAGAATGGAAAGATTAGAGGTGAGATGGCAAAGTAAACTATTCAGCCATGAGTAAGTATTCATAGGAAGTTAGGCTTCACAAGATTTTTTTTTTTTTTACATCTTTCATCTACCTACTTTCTTTACTGACTCCTTCAATTTCAAAAGCACATTTAATCTCTTTCTACACCCATGCCCATTGTTATGTGCTGGAGGATAGAAAGACAAAATGACACACTCTTTTCCCTCACGGAGTTTCAGGTCTAGTGGGAGACATAGAACCAGCAAATGCAATCTAGGATAACAGATGCAAGACAGTTCCCAAAGGCACTTTGGAGTCATATTGGGGGGAACATGTCTTTATTATTAAGAAATCAGAAGGGCTTCTTTTCAAGAACTTGGTGTTGAAGGATGAGAATTAACTGTGTAGAGCAAAAAAAAAAAAAAAAATAAGAAGGTGTTAAATAGAGAGAGTAACACTTATGGAGGCCTTGAGGATAGTGGCAAAGGACTCCCTGTGAGCAGCGGGGAAGGTGTTGTAGGACAAGGATGGAGTACTCCCTTAAAGAAGCAGGTAGAACCTAAATCTTCAAAGGATGTATGTACTGAACACATAGGCATCTAAGCATAACTTCCACCAAGCCCTGGGAAGCTACTAAAAGATTTCAGTCATCAGAGTCATGAAATCAGATGTAAGCTTAGTAAGGACCCTATTAGATGCAATGTGGGGAAGAAATAGAAGGAACTTCAGGCAGGAGGCTGAGAGACCAGTTGGCCCACTCAGTTCCAAACCTGGGTGGCTGTGTAAGTGCTTGTGTTAAGTCCTGACCGGGCAGCACAGGAGGAGGAGCCGACTGGATTAGAGGAAATAAGGAGTCTTCAACCTATTTTTCCTTCAGTTCTTATCATCCTTTTTTTAAAGCATGCTAAGAAGGAGAAGCGGGGGGGTCTATATACAGTGCTTGTGTTTGCTTTCTGACCCTGAACTGTACCCAGCCTCCCAGAGAATTGTTTATTACATATGCACTGATGTGAGAGACATGACTGCCCTTTAGCCCTTCCAGACAATAGTCGGGAAGGTACTTCTTCCCACTCATTCCATATTTGAGAGGAAAAAAAACCCAAAGTCTTAGTCAGAAATAAACTTACTAAGAGCATGCTTTCCACACTGGTACACGTACTCTCTGCCAAGGAATGTCGTGGTGCTGAGACCCATCAGCTGGCGGCACACCTCAAGGAAAAGCCGTTCATCTACCCCTTCGGGATGGATTTCTTAACTGTCTCACTGAAGATAAGGGACATGATTGATCTGATTAGAGTAGTATAATTAGCAGAGCAAACAGATTCCTAGACCAGAGGAAAGAGTAAAATGGCTTTTGTCCTTGATCTAGAGAAATTCCCTAGGCAACCAGAGCCTTTCTTTCTCAACTCCTGTGTAAACGAGGTGGCACATGACACAGAATCAAAATGAGGCATTTTCCACAGCACGTGAGTCTGATGTGATCCAGGGACCAGTATTGAAAATAGACTGCAGGGATTTTATTTGTTTGGTTTGGTTTGAATTGTTTTTTGTTTTTTAATAGAGGCCCATTCCATTTTGTGAGGAAAAAAAAAATAAGGGTGGGATGAAGACAGACTGTGAAAAATATTTGAGGTCATTCAAAAAGTATGATATCTCAATAAATGAATAATAACACTTGAGGAAACACAACAGTTCTATCACAAATAATGTTAGATGACAAAAAATATTACATTTTTTACACATCATTAAAAATGGATTATTGTAAAATGTTGCTCAAAAGGGGAAACAATACTAATCATAGCACTTGCTTTTATTCTTCTGTTGCAAGCAGAGTTGTTCAGTTGCAAGCATGAAAAGTCAGCTCTAATTGAAGCAGAAAATAAAAATTGTGGCAGGTCATGGGGTGGCTTATGGGAGTAAAGGGGAAGACTGGGAGGAAGCTGAGTAGAGATGTGAAATATTTAGCTCTGGGGGTCTGGGTGGTAGGAACAAACAGAAGTCTCTCCTCCGGGAACAGTGAGAAAAATGAGCTCCTTACGAAGTCTAGTGACAGCTTTTATAAATGAACGCTCAGGGAGCAACAGGCCAGCATGAAAAAAGAGTGATGTTTAAGAAAAACATGTACTTCAGAACTCCTGAAGCAGAGTCAATCAACAGGCAGGCACTTTAGTTCGTGTTGATCTCTTGATGAATTATACTCATTTAAAATTGGAAAGAACCCAATACATATTCTATATAAAGAACATACCCTAAAGCAAGGCAGCATGAGGAGTAATAATAATTTTTTACAACCCAGCTTGGCTACCTTTGACATCCATCCCTGCAAAAAAAAAAAAAAATTAGGTAACGCTGTGCAGTGATAAACTTACTAAGAGTCACAAGCCACAAGATGTCATTGGGAAAAAGAAGAGGACAAGGAAGAGACCTAGTTCTAAATGCAAAAATAATAAAACTTGGTTTGGGTAGAATGTATGATGAACTCAAAATTAGTTCCTCTGGAGGTATGTCAAATTTTATTAAAATTCATACACATTACAAGACCATAATCATCCTCCACTCTAGCGGATAGATTACTTTACTTACCTGCTGTTTACTTCAACAGAATTTTCTGATGTTTCAGATGGTGCTTTAGTGTTAATTGTCACAGAATTAAATCCCAAAATCTTGATGATATTATGAAAGAGCTTGTAACAGTTATTAGATGATAAGTATGCTGTTTTCCTAATACTACAGTACTGTAGAGGGAGTAATTCGATTGTGGGGCCTAGTACTCAATCATAGACTTATTATCTATATATATTTGGAAAAGAACATGAGCCTCTTTCATTCTCAATTTCCTCACACAAAATCAGACTAGTCACTGGTTACTAGTCCTTGTTGTCTCCCAGGGTTGTGAAATGTGTCAGGCAAAATTAGTGATGGCAAATAACCTTGCAAACTATATGACGTTCTACAAATGTAAGGATTAATTACATTTACGTTGACACATTATGTAATAGTAAACATCGGAGGAAATAATACTTTGGATTTCTTGACTAGGCCATAAAAGCAGTATTATTAGAATTCAGGTTCATCATGACCATTTGGAGCAAAGTTTCGCAAACCAAAACAACATTTTTTAAAGATTTAACTGCAATGTGCTAAATTTATATTGTAACCCTTAAAAGGACATAATTTATGCCTGTAATGCATGAATGCATGAATCTCCATAAACAATTTTATAAGACCACGTGAAGTGGCACTAAAAAAAGCTGCAGTTGCAGTGACACCCTTGACATGACAGGGCATGAGCATAAGTAATATTGAATACAAATATAATCTCAAAGTATTATATTATAGGCTTACTGCTTAATTGTTCTGAAAATGATAGGGTATGTTTCCTTTAGGCCAAGTCACTGAGAATTTTTTAATTGCCCTTTAATAGAAATCATATTGTATTTTTAGTCTAGAGAAAACAGTCTATGGGAACCACCTTCTCCCTCCCATGTCTTGGCAGTGGGAACTAGTCTCTCAGATCAGGACTATTTACTGATCCCCATGGCAACAATGTGCTTTATCTTGCGTAAATCCTAATATCATAAGGCCTTCATTGTTCTTTAGTACGATATCTCAACCCTAAAATAATGTTCTTGATGTGAAATATAAGTGCTTTAAATAGAACATTAAAAAAATTAAAACCTTGCTATAATGCTACAGTCTTAGGAAGCCTCTTCACTGCATTTTCACTTTGGAATAAGCCCTGAAATTTCTGAGTAAGGTAACTAGACCTTTCAAAGAAGAAGTGAATGAGTTTAAGTTGTCCCATTTAATGTGTGACTTGAACAAGCATTAAATGGGGTATGATAATATTGGGGCTAGGCTTTGAACGGTGTCCCTGTAATGTGTAGCAATAGTGCATGGAGACCCTACCCAAGTACCTGGGTTGTCTAAGTTCAGTGATATTACCTTCTATCCTGCAGACTTGTAACCAGAAATCAGAGTTGATTTTATTGCTAAAACTGTACCTATGATGAGATCTGGTTGTCTTCCAGGCTTCTGGATTTGTTAAAGCACATTGGCTAAGATTCTAAATGTCTGCACATGAAAGTTAAGTTAAGCCCATAAACTGCTTAAGAGTCCTTTAAAGAAAAATGCTACCTCAATAACAAGTGGTACTAGTATTATTCTATCTCATGGTCAGATCTGGCACTTCTCAGGCCAACCGGATTATAAGCATTTTAATAAAATTAGTGTTCCCCAGAACACCTTCATGCAACTACATTATATTTTTTGTTTAAGAGGGTGTAGGTGGTGGTACAGAAATGTTATTTCTTTTGATGACTTCCTCTCCAATGTTTCAAATGCATTAACACTCAGCAGGTGACACTTGAAATTCTTTTTATCCCTCCCTTTGTAAGATCTCAGATGGTTGTTAAATCATAGTTAAGTGAACTGAAACTGGATGTGTCATTCACTGATTTTCTTAGTCAAGATTTAACATTTCTGCTCCTGTTAACACCCTCTTCTGGTAATAACAGCACTCTGAGCCAACTCTGTCCCTGTTCTCTCTTGAAGGCCTGCTGTTCTTTCTCATTTTTCAAGTGCTTCATGAACACATAAAGAAACTTGACATTGTCATTAAGAGACTGTTTCAATACTCTGGATCCACTGATTGTGCTCTGAATAATTTGCCTTTGCCCTTTGCATTTTGAAGGCAACCAAATGGAAAAAAAAAAAAAAAGAATCTTGTACCGCTAAGCACAGATCGAACAGTTCCAAGAGTTAAAGCTGCCCTGCTTCCAGCTTGCCACCCAAAGATCTAAAATAAATGCATTTTAAAAACAAAAAACTAACATTTTCTACTGAGAATGCTAACGGGGAGGACTGGGTAAAGAAGGCAAATGAATTCTCATCTCTCTGAAATCAAGAATTCATTTTATTTATGTTTATATTCCATGTAGTGCCTGGTCTCATCAGTGCCTTACAGAGTTAGAGAAGCCAAAAAGGGAAAAGAAAATGTTTCTGAATCTCCATGTGGTCTTTTTGTAATATAAATAGGAGGAAAGTTTTTCTAAATGAAGATTACACTGATAAGAAATTCTGGACAAAATGCAAGACATAAGTTTGGAGGATATTGCTTACATGGCTATTTATCTGTCTGTCCATATGTGCCAATGATATGTATCTGTGATATATGAGGTAGGATTATAAAACAATGAGGCTTGGATTAAAAATATATATATACTTTAAACAGTATATTTGCATTAGAGTGAGATTTAATAAGATAAGGCATGTTGAAGTGCTTTGCAAACTATAAATTAGTATCCAAATATAAAACATTGCAATTATAATTCATTCAAGAGCAAATATTTATTAAGCAGCTCTCTATATGGTCTATATCAATAAAATAATTATATTGGGATGGACAGAGAAGAAAGAAATGACTTAAACTACAGAAAAGAAAAATTAACTGTTATAAAAATTGAGGACTAGTGTGGAATAAGATGAAAAGTACGTAATATCCTTCATAGATTGTCTCCATATAGTCCTAACATTTTAAATAGCTTCCTAAGGAATCTTGAACCATAAAGTCTGGTTTAGTATAACAGTGAGATGCTTTGCAGAAGCCATGAGGATAGAGTCATCCTATCATCCCTTCTCCAACTCCAGGTAGCATGGAGATAGACACCACTCACTTGCATAGAGGGAGAGAAATCAAGGACAGGCCTTAGATTCAAAACCCAGTACCAGGCCCACCACAGTGAAAACCAGCACTAGGCAGAGCCCCACAACCTCTGCCCCTAGGCGACTACTCAGGGACTGAGCCACTGGAACTGCATTAGGTAGGCAGTTGACTTCTTCTACCACTCCTCACCTGTCCTCAGGCAGCAGAGACTTCACCCACTGGGTAATAGTACACAAGAGCTAGCAGGAGATTTCACCTTGAAGTTCAATGCCAAGCTACCATGATGAGATTCAGTACCAGAAAGAAACCAAAGACCCCTTCACTCAGGACAGAACACCAAGATAGTGTCTCTGGACCTGCCCCAGCATCAGACAGAATCCTGTTCTTGGGCAGGACAGACTCAAATTTTAGCTTGCATCATTGCCAGCCTTGAAGTGGCCCTGGGGCAGCATACCCAAGACTGCAAGAGTTGCTATGGCTATGAGACTCAGTGCAACCCAGTTTGGTATCAGCCATAATGATGACAGGACTACCCCCACCCCCCTCAGACAATGCAGCTATCACCAAGACAGAGCTCCCAGATGTAACCCCTAGAGCTGTTTGGCACAAGGCAGATACCTGAGCCCCCATGAGAAGGATTCATGCTTCAGCCTGTCAGCTGCACTGTGGAACACAGTCCTATCCCAGGGTTGCACTGGTCTTAGCAGGCTGAGGGCCCAGGCTGTGACATAGCTGTGCAATATCAGCGGCCATAGCCATGGCACAGGAGCCTGGGGCAGGCCCTCCAACCACAATTCTGCCCAGAGCCAGGCAGAATCATGCATGCCTAGCCACAGACTGCTGACAGTGGACAAGGTGTCTGGGTCTACCCCAGCTCAAGGGAGAGGAGTGCAACAATGAACTAC